TGTCACAGTTTGGATTTAAATCGCAGATACTCTGAACAGACAGCATATGTGCATTGTAAGTTTCGACAGCAGATTTGGGAGGCAGGTATATGCAACCTATGATGAGAGAGCGTGAGGGGATAGAAACTTTCACCCACACCTGTTCAGTCACTGAGTCCTCACTAGACACTTGCGAACATTTATATTTGTTGTTTATTGCTAAGAGAACACCTCCACCGCGACTTTTAGAACTATTTTGAGCATTACGGTCGTTCCTAAAAACATTATACCTGGTGTCTAATATTTCGCTGCTGTGTATGTCTGGTGATAGCCAGGTTTCAGTGAAAGCCAGGGCACAAAAGTTCTCTCCTAATACTTCACAATAGATGTCACTAAGCTTAGATCTGATGCCTCTGGTGTTCTGATAATAGACAGAGAATTTTGGGATTTCCTGATCAGAACCGTTGGTATCCAGCACAATGTTGCCTTTCATCCCATTTATTGAGCTTAGGTAGTTTTCTCTAAAAAAGATTTAGTTGAAAAATTGAAGCGCCTTACAACGACGCCCTGGGGCCAGAATTCTTCCTTGAACAGGGTATCTTTGTAGGCGAACTTCACACCAACCCTGAAAGACTGGTAGGATCCTTGAGTATTAAGCTTATCCACCGTCACTTCATCCGAGGGGAGCTTTCCACTAATGTATGATTTGACATCATCACTGCTTGTCTCTTTGTTAACCTTGCCGACATAAAACCAGGCTTTCTTCACATATGTTGACCTGAAATTACTCTCCGATGCCGATGCAGCAACGGACGTTCCTATTATGGGCGGAGGCTGCTTCTTCCTATTTCTTCGCGAACGTCGAGGTACGGTCCATTTTTCTTCAACGCTGACGTTCGAGAGACTGTCTTCTACTTCCGAATGCCAAGTGCGAGAGGGAGGCGTCTGAGGAACAGCTGATGTTTGTTTACAACCTTTATCATCATTTCTTATATTTTCGTTTCTTGTATGCAATTTCTCATGATTACTTATAATAAAACCTGGTTTTTTCGACATTGGTTCAGTTCTTTTCTGTCCAACGTATGACGATGGAATAGGGTCCACTTTTTTCAATTTTGAGGAGAAAAGCGATTTATTATCTGATACATTAGCGCTGGTTAGAACTTTAACCAGGTCGATGTTACTTTCTTTGAGGGAAATAATCTCTGCTCGAAGGTACTTGATTTCCTCTAAAAGCGGTTCCATTGCTTTCTTTATTAAAACCGAAATATCCACAGTACTATTTGTAGGAGATGAGTGCAGGGATAGATTCACCGAATCCAATTCGTTTTTCGACGAGCCATCGACGTTATCGCAGCATATTATCTGCGTATCACTGATAAGCTTGATGTTTTTTAATATTTTCACACAACTGGGATGGCTTAACGAACCACATTTTACACATAATAACCCACTAACCGGTAAAATTTTACACTTCCTACACGGAAGTCCGGAGAGAGCTGGAAACACGTCTTTACTCTGTGACATCTCACACTCTCAAACAATGAAACATCACAACATTTAAAAATTCAAAATTTTAAAACCCAAAATTTAGCACTTGGAACACGGGAAAATTGAATAAATTAAAGTTGAAAACTCAAAAAATCAGAATAAACCAAAAATTGAAAAATTCAAAAGTTGAAAAATCTAGAAAATTAAAGATGAAAAATTGAAAAAGAAAAATTTTACAATTCTAATAGTAAAAAATCAAACCATTGAAAAATACGAAATTTTAAACCCCAAATTTGAGCAATTAAAAAAAAATCTCGAAAAATTTGATATCGAAAAACTGAAGAAAGCAAAAATTCAAAAATTAAAAATCGAAAAATTGAAAAATTTAAAGTAAAGAACTATAAAATTGGCTATCGATAAAAATGATAAACCGAAAAATCAAAAGCCGAAATGTTGAAAATTTAAATTTATAACTGAAAATTCGAGAAGGTGAAAAATCGAAAAATCAAAAATCTAGGAATAAAATGATCGAAAAATTGAAACAATAAAAATACAAGTAACTGAAGAAACAAAGACTACAATTTAAAAAAAAAAAACAGAAACATTCGAAACTTGAAAAACCGAAAACCTGAATTAAATTTAAAATATTGAAAACTCAAAAAATTAGCCTGATACATCGTAAACCAAAATTTGTCTCTCCATGCCCACTACAAGGAAGTTCCATAGAAATTTGGTACAATTTTTAAACCTGGAAATTCGAAAAACAAAATCTGAAAAATCGAAAAATTGAAAAATCAAATATGTAATGGCAAAATAGAAATATTAAAAAATGGCTTGATTGGAAAATTTAAAATATGAAAACCCACAAATTGAAAATCGGAAAAATTAAAAAAGCGGAAAATGGAAATATCTTCAAATAGAAAAATCTGAAAATTGAAAACAAGGAAAAAAACGAGAAACTGAAAAATCAGAAAATGGAACGGAATTCTATAAAATCGAAAATTGAAAATGAAAATTTGTCAAATCTAAACAGTGGAAAATCATAAAATGGAAAAAATGAGCAATTTAAAAATGGAAAATTTGAATAAATTAAAACCGAAAAATTTTAAAAATAAAAATTTAAAGCTCGAAAAATTTTATATTGAAAAACTGAAGAAAGCAAAAATTGAAAAATTAAAAATCGAAAAATTAGAAATATTATAAAAATGGAAAACAAAAAATTAGCTTTTTTGTCGCCTATTTGTGTCCCCTCTTTCGTCTTTGTTAGCTCTTTTTACGTTTTTTTTTTGTTCCCCTTTTTTGCGTTTTTTTTTTGTTCGTTTTTTTCATGGTTCTTTTCTAGTTTTTTTCGTCTCTTTCTAGTCCTTTTCGCCATTTTTGTGCCTTCTCTTTTCGCCCTTTTGTGTAACCTTTATTTGGCCACTTTCTTTGGTGGTCCTTTTTTATATTAGCGTCTTTTTTTTAGTCAGTTTTTTTGTTAAGTTTTTTGTCGCCCCTTTTTGCCTTTTTTGGTCTTTTTTGTCCTCTTTATGAGCCTTTTTAGCAGTTTTGTTTGCGCCTTTTTTCGGATTTTTTGCTCTTTTTTGTTTTTTTTTTTTTTTGTTTTTTTTTTGCATATTTTGGTAGCCTTTTTTGCGACTTTTTTCATTTTTCAGACTTTTCATCTCTCAGACACTTTTTTGTCGTCTACTTGTGTCCTCTCTTTCGTCTTTGTTAACTCTTTTTACGTACATTTTTGTTCCGATTTTTTGCATTTTTCTGTTGCCCGTTTTTTCATGGTCTTTTTTTGTTTGTTTTTCTTTTGTGACCTTTTTAAACGTTTTTCGCTGTGCAATTTTTTGTTTGGTCGTGTTTTTTTTTCGTTTTTTGTTTTTTTTCTTTTGTAGTATTTTTTTCGTCTCTTTCCAGTTTTTTTCGCCTTTTTTATTTGTGGCCATCTTTTTTCGCCTTTTTGTGTGACCTTTTTCCATTAGCGTCTTTTTAGTAGCCTTTTTTGTGACTTTTTGCCACCTTTTTTTTATCTTTTTCTCCTGTTTTTGCGCTTTTTTAGTAGGTTTTTGTGCTTCATTGCGCTTTTTTTGTTGGTCGTTTTTTCGTTTTTTTTTTACTTTTTTATTGTTTTTCGTCTCTTTCTAGTCTTTTTCGCCTTTTTTTTGTGGCCATCTTTTTTCAACCTTTTGTGTAACCTTTATTTGGCCACGTTTTGGTGGCCCTTTTTGTATTAGCCTCTTTTTTGTGACTTTTTTTGCTCTTTTTTTTTGTCCTTTTTGCGCCTTTTTGTAGTTTTTTTGCGCTTCTTTGCGTTTTAACCTTTTTTCGTATTTTTGCGTCTTTTTTTTGACTTATAGTAGTTTATGACTGTTGTAGTTTCTGGAAGCCTTCTTTATGATTTATTTTTCGTTTTTTTAAGTCGCTTTTTTATGACCTATTTGGCTCTTTCGTCTTTGTTAGGTCTTTTTACTTACTTTTTTGTACTCACCTTTTGTTTGTTCGTTTTTTCATGGTCCTTTTTTGTTTTTTTTTTGTGGTCTTTAAGCATTTTTCTCTGTGCAATTTTTTATGGTCGTTTTTTTGTTTTCTTCTGTTGGTTTTTTAAGTCTTTTTTCGTCGTTTTCTAGTCTGTTTTGCCTTTTTTTGACCTCTTTTTTGTCTTTTTGGTCGTTTTTTGCGCTTCTTTCCGCCTGTTCTTTTTTGTTTCTGTCGCCTCATTTTTTGGCGTTTTAAGTTTTTTGTTTTTTATGTACTTTTTTGTCATAGTTTTTGTAGAATTTTTTTTTTTTAGTGGTCCCGCTTTTGTAATTTTGGTTGACCTTTTTTGAGCTTTTTTTAGCGTTTTTTTTTTGTTATCTTTTTGATTGTTTTTTATTTTACTGTGGCCCTTTTTGTGTTTTTGTAACTTTTTTTGGCGGGCTCTTTTTTGTAAACGGTTTTTTTGCAGTGTTTTTTTGGTGTCCTTTTTCTTTGTCTCTTAAAAACTTTTATTTTTACTTTTTTTTGTCACCGCTCGTTCCCTTTTTTTTTATTTTTTTAGTCACCTTTTCTTTGGCGATCTTATTTGTTGACCTCTTTTTTTTGTCCTGTTGCGCCTATTCGGCCGTTTTTCTTCGCTATTTCTGGGGGAGGCTTTTTGAAAAAAATTTTTTGGTCCTTGTTTTTTTACTCACTTTTTTGTTACCATTTTTCGTCTTTGTTTAGCTTTTTTGTTGCTTTTTTAGTCGCCGTTTTTTCCGTCTTTTGCCGTTTTTCCTATCCTTGCTAAAAAGTTGATAACATCATCACAAAAATTTATTATGAAAAACTCACTTGAAACATAGGCATAACACTCTTCTTTTGTCTGTATTTTTAACATTCACACATATCCTTACTTTATATGTGTTACAGTCGTAAAGTGATGAGGTGGTAAGAAAGATATTTGTTCTTATCACAAGTATTAATTCTTTCGATTAAATGATTTTATTTTGTCGCAGAATTAAAAAAAAATATTTTTCAAATTTGACTTAAACTTAACCCATATTTTGAAAACATTTCAGGCGCAGCAGCAAAAAAACCCTCGACCTCTGGTGGCAAGGTCTTCCGTCCAGCGTCCGCGGCAGAGTCTGGCGCCTGGCGATCGGCAACGAGCTCAACCTCACCCCCCAGCTGTACGACATCTGCGTATCCCGCGCCCAGAGCCGCCTCAACAGCCCCTCGCCCTCGCACTCCGACATGGAGCAGGAGGGCAGCATGGACGTCATCCAGCTGGACATCTCGAGGACGTTCCCGCACCTGTGCATCTTCCAGGAGGGCGGGCCCTACTCGGACGTGCTGCATTCGCTCCTGGCCGCCTACGTGTGCTACCGCCCCGACGTCGGCTACGTCCAGGGCATGTCGTACATCGCCGCCATCCTCATCTTGAACATGGAGGCGTTCGACGCGTTCATTTGCTTCGCGAATTTGCTGAACCAGCCGCTGCACTTGTCGGCGTTCACGCTCAACCAGGCGCAGATGGAGGCGTACTATTCCGCGTACAACGAGGTGTTCTTCTATAATTTGCCAAAGCTGCACCAGCATTTCGAGGAGGCCAAGTTGACGCCGGATCTGTATTTGCTGGATTGGATTTATACGATATTTGCGAAGGCGATGCCGCTGGATGTGGCGTGCAGGGTGTGGGATATTTTTTTGAGGGATGGGTGCGAGTTTATCTTCAGAACCGCCTTGGGTAAGTTGGAAGATTGAGCGAAAATGTAGAAACGAAATTGGGGTTGTTTATCTTTGGAACTATTGGAATAGTAAGATTGGTGGAGGCATCAAATTGAATTAAAAGAATGATGAATGATGAAATTTTAGATACATTTTAGGAATATTGTCTAAACGGTTAAATACTAACCAAAAGTAAGTCGTACTTGAATTTTATAAAATAACATGCTTTTATATATGTGGTTTATTAGTGCGCCTATATTTTTACCCTGGACACCTAAATTTCTGGAAAAAAAATTAGAGTTGTAAAGCAACATCTAGCAAATATTTTCAAGGTTATAATATGATAAATCACTTATTACAATTTTTTTTTTCTTCTCGAAAAACTTGTTGGATAAATCTTATCTACAATATACTAAATACAATGAATATGTATTTGTGATATTTTTTAACTCTTTTTTAGTGGCCTTTTTGGCACTTTTTGCGTTTTTTTTTTTCCTTTTTTTGTTGTATTTTTTAATCAGTGATTTCTTTCGCCTTTCTTGTAACAGTTAAAAGCCGCTTTTTATCGTTCTTTTTAAGTCTTATTTTATTCGTTGGTTTTTTTTTGTTGTCGGTTTTTTCGACTTCGGATTTTTTTTTTGTCAATTCTTTGTTGCGTTTGTTAGTACCCTTTTTTGCCTTCGTTTCTTGTAGTTTTTTACCTTTTCCCCCTTTTTTGTCTTCTTTTTATAGGTTTTTTTTTGTCACCTGTTTATCTATCTATCGCTTTTTTGTTGTCATTTTTTATTGTTAATCGCGTTTTTATTTTCTGGGTTTTTTCAATTTTTTGACTTGCAAGTTTTCGGTTTTCAGTTTTTCATTTCTTCAAATTTTTCGTTTCGGTTTTTCATTTTCTTTACAATTTTTCCATTTTTCAATGTTCCGATTTTATGATTTTTGATGTTTCAACTTTTAGATTTTTATTTTTCGTTTTTTTCAATTGTAGGTTTTTCAGTTTCTTGATTTTTCAGGTGTTTGTTTTTTCAATTTTTGAGTTGCAATTTTCAATTTTTTCCAGTTTTCATTTTAAGTATGTAATAGTAATAATAATTAAAAAAATGTTTTACTTTTTCAACTTTATTATTTCAGAAGTTTTCCTTTTTTCAAACTACTGGATTTTAAAGCTTTTTGATTAATTGGACTTTTCAACTTTTCGATTTTTAATATTTCAATTTTTCACTTCCCATAAAAAATGTAAAAATTGCAGAATTGTAAACTTGAAAAATCAGAAATGAAAAAACAAAAAAGTATAAAATAGAAAAATCTACAAATTAGATCTAGAAGTTGAAAAAATAAAAGAACGGAAAACTGAAAAATCGCAAAAAAAATTGAGAACTTTAAAAATCGAAAAAGGCCAAAATCGAAATATTAAAGATTACAGAATTTGGAAAATCCAGGAATTAAAAAAATCAAAGATTGTTATGCACTTTTTTGTCGCCTTCTTCTAGTCGCTTTTTTGACCTTTTGTAGTCGTCTTTTTTGCCATTTTGTTGTTGATTTTTTTTGTGTGTGTGATTTTTTTTAAGTCGGTCTTTTTTTTGTGTACTTTTTTTTTCGTCTTTTTTTGTAATTGCGCCTTTTATAATTTTTTTTATTGCATTTCTTGTCGATTTTTCCCAAATTTCCCTCTTGATTTTTTTATGGTTTCTTTTACTACCTTTTTTTGAGTTGCCTTTTTAATATCCTTTTTTTTAAGTTTCTCGTTTTGTTCTTGCTTTCTTGGGTTTTCTTAGATTTCGTGGACTTTGGAGTTATTGATTTTATGGATTTCTTGAATCTCCTGTTTTTTTTTTAGATTTCGTGGACTTTGGAATTATTGAATTTTTTAGATTTCTTGGATTTCTTGAAGATCTTGAATTTCTTAGTTTTCTTGAATTTCTTAGATTGCGTGGACTTTGGAATATTGGATTTTTTCGATTTCTTGGATTTCTTGGAGATCTCAGATTGCTTGGATTTCTTGAGTTTCTTAGATTTCTCAGGTTGCTTGAATTTCTTAGATTTCGGAAACTTTGGAATTATTGGATTTTTTAGATTTCTTGGATTTCTTGGAGTCCTCGGATTTCTCGGATTGCTTGGATTTCTTGAGTTTCTTAGATTTCGTGGACTTTGGAATTACTGAATTTCTTCGATTTCTGAGGTTTCTTGGACTTATTGGGTTTCTTGAATTTTTTGGGTTTCTTGGGTTTCTTGAAATTTTTAGATATCTTGGATTTTTGAAATTTTTGGAAATCTTGGATATCTTGGATTTCTTCTTCTTTAGCTTTTGAGTTTCTTAGATTTATCAGGTTGCTGAAATTTTTTAGTTTTCTTGAATTTCTTAGATTTCTCAGGTTGAGTGAATTTCTTAGATTTCGTGGATTTTGTAATTATTTAATATTTTGGATTTCTTGGGTTTCTTGAATTTCTTGAATTTTTTGAGTGTCTTAGATTTCTCAGGTTACTTGAATTCCTTAAATTTCGTGGATTTTGTAATTATGGATTTCTTGAATGTCTTAGAATTTTTTGTGGTGTTTTTTTGCCTTTTTTTGTTTTATTTATTTTTTTTATATTTTTTAGTCGCTTTTTTGACCTTCTGTAATAGGTTTTTCTTTTGTCTTTTTTTGCTATTTTGATGTCAATTTTTCTTATTTTTTCTTTCGTGTGTGTAAGTCGGTCTTTTTTTTGTGTATTTTTTTTCTCGTCTTTTTTTTTTGTAATTGCGCTTTTTTTTTATCTTGTCGATCTTTTCATTGTTTCTTTTACTTCCTTTTTATCACCTTTTTTAAGTTGCCTTTTTAATTTTCCTTTTTTTTTTCAACTTTCTCTGTTTGTTAGATTTTTTTTATAGTTGTTTATCGAGTTTTTTTCCCCTTTTCTTTTCGATCTTTTGTCGCCTTTTTTGTCGAGGTTTTCTCGTTACCTTTTTTTTTGTTGTGGCGTTTTTGTAAATTGTTTGTTCCGACTTTTTAAGTGTTTTTTTTTTTATTTTTTTGCTCCTGTTGTTTTTTAATCAGTTTTTTTTTTGTTGTATTTTGCGGTTTTTTTTTATTTTGGTCGTATTTTTCATGTTTTTTGTTACTTCTCTTTTTTTTATCGAATTTTTTGTCTCCTTTTTTATCCAGTTTTTTCCCGTTTTACCGTCTTTTTCTTGTCCTTTTTTTATTCTTATTTATTCTCCTCTTTCGTGACGTTTTTAGTTATTTTTTTAATCTCTCATTTTTCATCTCTTTTTTTGTCCGTTTGTCCCACCTTTTCTTGTCAATTTTTTTGTCGCCTTTTTATCCCGTGGTGTCGGTTTTTTTATTGTCTTCTTTTTTACTTCATTTTTTGTGGATTTTTTTAGTCGATTTTTCTGTATCGTTTTTATCATCTTTTATTACCTAATTGGTTGTCACTTTTTTCTGTTATGTTGTTTATAACGCCTTGAATGCTTTTTCTCAAAGAACGGCTGACTTAGACGTTGATATTCTTTCTTAATTAAATAGTTCAAATTAATAAAAAAAATGGGAGTAAACGTAGGTTTTAAAATGATTGAATTCATTTTAGGAATATTGTCTAAACGGTTAAATACTAACCAAAAGTAAGTCATACTTGAATTTTATAAAATAACATGCTTTTCTATATGTGGTTTATTAGTGCGCCTATATTTTTCCCTGGACACCTAAATTTCTGGAAAAAAAAATTAGAGTTGTAAAGCAACATCTTGCAAATATTTTCAAGGTTATAATATGATAAATCACTTATTACAATTTTTTTTTTCTTCTCGAAAAATTTGTTGGATAAATCCTATCTACAATATACTAAATACAATGAATCTGTATTTGTGATATTTTTTTAACTATTTTTTAGTGGCCTTTTTGGCACTTTTTGCGTTTTTTTTTTTCCTTTTTTTGTTGTATTTTTTAATCAGTGATTTCTTTCGCCTTTCTTGTAACAGTTAAAAGCCGCTTTTTATCGTTCTTTTTAAGTCTTATTTTATTCGTTTTTTTTTTTTGTTGTCGGTTTTTTCGACTCGGATTTTTTTTTTTTTGTCAATTCTTTGTTGCGTTTGTTAGTACCCTTTTTTGCCTTCGTTTGTTGTAGTTTTTTACCTTTTCCCCCTTTTTGTCTTCTTTTTATAGGTTTTTTTTTTGCTGAATTTTTTGTTTAATTTTTTTTCATATTGCACTTTTTGTCGCTTTTTATTTGTCTTTTTTCTTCGCTATTTTGTTGAGTTGTATTTTTTTAATTTTTTCTTTTGAGAGTAAAATACTCTCTTCATTTTTATGTGTTTCGGTCCATTTTGTACTTTTTCTCGACTTTTTGAAAAAATTTATTACGTTTTTCTTACCTTATAGATTTTTTTCCCAAGTTTCTTTCTTGATATTGTTTTTTGTACTTCTTTTTTGTCACCTGTTTATCTATCTATCGCTTTTTTGTTGTCATTTTTTATTGTTAATCGCGTTTTTATTTTCTGGGTTTTTTTCAATTTTTTGACTTGCAAGTTTTCGGTTTTCAGTTTTTCATTTCTTCAAAGTTTTCGTTTCGTTTTTTCATTTTCTTTACAATTTTTCCATTTTTCAATGTTCCGATTTTATGATTTTTTGTTTTTTCAGTCATTTTTTATTATTAAATTATTCGGTTTTAAATTTTTTGATGTTTCAACTTTTAGATTTTTTATTTTTCGTTTTTTTCGGTTTTTCAGTTTCTTGATTTTTCAGGTGTTTGTTTTTTCAATTTTTGAGTTGCAATTTTAAATTTTTTCCAGTTTTCATTTTAAGTATGTAATAGTAATAATAATTAAAAAAATGTTTTACCTTTTCAACTTTATTATTTCAGAAGTTTTCCTTTTTTCAAACTACTGGATTTTAAAGCTTTTTGATTAACTGGACTTTTCAACGTTTCGATTTTTAATATTTCAATTTTTCACTTCCCATAAAAAATGTAAAAATTGCAGAATTGTAAACTTGAAAAATCAGAAATGAAAAAACAAAAAAGTATAAAATAGAAAAATCTACAAATTCGATCTAGAAGTTGAAAAAATAAAAGAACGGAAAACTGAAAAATCGCAAAAAAATTGAGAACTTTAAAAATCGAAAAAGGCCAAAATCGAAATATTAAAAATTACAGAAATTGGAAAATCCAGGATTTAAAAAAATCAAAGATTGTTATGCACTTTTTTGTCGCCTTTTTCTAGTCGCTTTTTTGCCATTTTGTTGTTAATTTTTTTTGAGTTGCCTTTTTAATATCCTTTTTTTTCAAGTTTCTCGTTTCGTTCTTGCTTTCTTGGGTTTTCTAGATTTCTGAGGTTGAATTTCTTAGATTTCGTGGACTTTGGAGTTATTGATTTTATGGATTTCTTGAATTTCTTGTTTTTTTTTTGGATTTCGTGGACTTTGGAATTATTGAATTTTTTAGATTTCTTGGATTTTTTGAAGATCTTGAATTTCTTAGTTTTCTTGAATTTCTTAGATTTCTCAGGTTGCTTGAATTACTTAGATTTCGTGGACTTTGGAGTTATTGATTTTTTTGATTTCTTGAATTTCTTGAATTTCTTGGATTTCTTAGATTTCGTGGACTTTGGAATTATTGAATTTTTTAGATTTCTTGCATTTCTTGGAGGTCTTAGATTTCTCGGATTGCTTGAATTTTTTTGTTTCTGAGATTTCTCAGGTTGCTTGAATTTCTTAGATTTCGGAAACTTTGGAATTATTGGATTTTTTAGATTTCTTGGATTTCTTGTAGTCCTCGGATTTCTCGGATTGCTTGGATTTCTTGAGTTTCTTAGATTTCTCAGGTTGCTTGAATTTCTTAGATTTCGTGGACTTTGGAATTACTGAATTTCTTCGATTTCTGAGGTTTCTTGGATTTTTTGCGTTTCTTGGGTTTCTTGAAATTTTTAGATATCTTGGATTTTTGAAATTTTTGGAAATCTTGGATATCTTGGATTTCTTCTTCTTTAGCTTTTGAGTTTTTTAGATTTATCAGGTTGCTGAAATTTTTTAGTTTTCTTGAATTTCTTAGATTTCTCAGGTTGAGTGAATTTCTTAGATTTCGTGGATTTTGTAATTATTTAATATTTTGGATTTCTTGGGTTTCTTGAATTTCTTTGGATTTCTTGAATTTTTTGAGTGTCTTAGATTTCTTAGGTTACTTGAATTCCTTAAATTTCGTGGATTTTGTAATTATGGATTTCTTGAATGTCTTAGATTTTTTTGTGGTGTTTTTTTGCTTTTTTTGTTTTATTTTTTTTTATATTTTTTAGTCGCTTTTTTGACCTTCTGTAATAGGTTTTTCTTTTGTCTTTTTTTTGCTATTTTGATGTCAATTTTTCTTATTTTTTCTTTTGTGTGTTTAAGTCGGTCTTTTTTTTGTGTATTTTTTTTTCTCGTCTTTTTTTGTAATTGTGCTTTTGTTTTGTTTTTTTTTTTGTTATCTTGTCGACCTTTTCATTGTTTCTTTTACTTCCTTTTTATCACCTTTTTTAAATTGCCTTTTTAATTTCCCTTTTTTTTTTCAACTTTCTCTGTTTGTTAAATTTTTTTTATAGTTGTTTATCGAGTAAATAGTTCCAATTAATAAAAAAATGCGAGTAAACGTAGGTTTTAAAATCATTTAATTGGATATAACAAAAGTCACATTTGTGTTTATTTAATTTTTTTGTTGTTCCAGGTATTCTTCACTTAAACCAAGATACCCTAATAAACATGGATTTTTTGCACGGAGCACAGTTCCTTACTCGTTTACCTGACGACTTATCGTCAGACCAGTTGTTCAAAAGTATACAGTCAGTTACAACAAACATAGGAAAACAAACATTTTGCCAAATTGTCGATAAGTATAGCCTTTCAATCAGGTAATAAAAAATGTAGAACAAATAGTTAGAACAAAATTCGCTCAGAAACCGAAACAAACAACTAGTTTGTAATTCTTGTAATTTTATTTTAATATAAATATTTGTTGTGGTCCAAGTAACGTTATGTCCTCTTTATTTCCGTCCACTTCCACAAACACTTGTTTCACGGAATCTCTACTGTTTTGTAATTAATTTAGGTATAAATACAATACAATGGTTTAAGATATTCTGTAAAGTGTAATCAAAACTTGCCAGTTAGAGGGCGTTCTTTTCTGACCGGAAAAAAAATGTACTGAGGTGCTACTCTAAAAAAATTCTCTCGAATTTCCGGTTCAGGTGATAAGGCTGTGTAAGATTATTAAATTTGAACGATGGAAGATCTCCATTTGTAGAGAATTTTGAGAGTTTGTTTATATTCAAAGAAAATGTATCATTTAAAGGCGCGGATATTTCCTACTTGTGTTTTTATGCTTTTTATTGATAATTAATAGTTATGTAAACGCAGTTATTTCATGTTAGATTCTGAGACGAATATTCAAAATGTGTAGTTATTTTTTACATACGGCCATGTTTATTATTTATGGAGTGTTTGTATGTTAACTTTTAAGTGACATTATTTTTTTATTAATGTACAGAAAGCGACAAAGTTATAAGAAACAAAAACTGTTAAATCTGCTTTATAATTTATCATATAGATGCAAAAAAGTTGTGAAATACTGTACAGATTGTAATTTACCTTTTCTAAAAATAAAATTGTAGTAAAATTTTATTAAAAAAATACATGAACTTTTGTATTTCTTGTGTTTGTTTTTATTCCCTTTTATTATTGTATTTGATATTACAAAATTTAACATTTTTGGAAGACAGAAGTAATTTATTTGTGCTTGTTAATATCTGAATCAACACTATTCTATGGAAAACTGTCACTTCATAATAAAGGAATTTTACATATATGTACTTAAAATATTGGAGAGTAAATATTTATCTACAGATATTGTATACAAACTATATGACATTTTGTTCCAGCTATTACATACTTTGCTTTATTTAATAAAGATTATATTTAAAACTATATAATTTGGTGCTGTTGTTGCACTTTGCCCATTGTTCATTAAAGAACGAAATTTTGCTAGTAATCATATTTTTGTCGAGTCATTAGTCTAATGCATGTATTTATTGTAAATAGTCTTATCTTGAGAGTTATATAAGCGTGAAATTTAGTTATTAATTACAGTTATCTCTTAACAATGTCTGCCCGAATTTTAAAGGGAAAAGAATTTCACCCAAATTTCGACAACACAAGTTTGGGTGAATTTTTATTTGAACGATGTGAAAAATTTGCCGACAGAATTTGTCAGGTATGTAATATTTAAAATTGGCGGTATTACTAATTAATTGTCCTTTTTTAATTCCCGATGGACGTATTGTAGGTATAGTATGACCAAAAATATTGTGCGAATTCTACTAACTAATTTTTATGACGGCTTAACACACTCTTGTAAACTTGTCGCAGTCCAGATGGTTAGGAGGGGGTTTGTCGAGTGGACCGTAATGAAAATTTTGTTGTACGGAATGTTCGCGAAAGAAAATAATTATTTATTATTAACTTAGATGATGAGAGTGTGTATTCTTCATGTTTCGACAAATTGTACGTTAACACCTGTCATTTGTCGTTTTTTATGCTCTTTTTTGATGTTTTTTTTTTTACTTTTTGTCTTTTTGTAGCTTTTCTTTGATGATCTTGTAGTCCCTTTTTTGTCTTCTTTTTTGCTCCGTTTTTTGCTTGTTCGGTATTTTTTGGCGCTTTTTTGTGCATTTTTTGGGTTTTGGGATCTTTTTGATTTTTGGAATACATACTTGGAATCCTTGTTGTCCTTGCGTTTATTGGACTTCGTCTATTTTTTGGATTTTTTGGGATTCCAAATTCTTGGAGTACTGGAAATTTTTTAATTCTAGGAAATCTCAAATTTCTTGAATTCTGAGTTGCTTGAATTAAGAAACTAAGAAGTTTTCTTGAATTTCTTGGATTTTTTCTACCTCCATGGATTTCTTGGACTTTTTGTGGAATTATAGAATTTCTTGGATTTGGGGGAATTAATGGACTTCTTAGGTTTTTAGTATCTCGAGTTTCTTGAATTTTTCGAATTTTTGGGATCCTTGAAATTCTCTGAATTCTTGGAATTCTAGGATCTGGAGTATGTGACATTTTTGGACTGACTGGATTTCTGTACGTTTTTTGAAGTTTTTAATAATTTTAGGAAATCTCGGATTTCTTGAACCTTTCGTTTCCTCTGTAATCTCCTGAACTTATTGGATTTATGAATTTCTTAGTTCCCGTGGAACTTTATACATAATTTTGAATTATTTTGGGTTTCTTGGATTTCTAGAGTTTCCTAGATTTCTCAGATTGTTTCTTAGATTTCTTGGATTTCTTCTGTTTCTTGTAGTTCTTGGGTTTCTTCAAATCTATGGATTTCTTGAATTTCTTGATTTTCTTGGATTTTTTGAATTTTTTGGATTTTTTGGATTTCTTGGATCTCTTGGTTTTCTTGGATCTCTTGGACCTCCTGCATCTCTTGGATCTCTTGGATCTCCTGGATCTCTTGGATCTCTTGGATTTCTTGGATCTCTTGGATTTCTTGGGTCTCTTGGATTTCTTGAGTTTCTTATTAGAACTTTTTTTTCTTGAATTTTTTCTGTTTCTTGAGTTTTTGGGTTTTTTGAAATCCTTCGATTTCTTGTATTTCTTGGATCTCTTAGATATCCTGGATCTCTTGGATTTTTTGGATTTCTTGGATTTCTTGGATCTCTTGGATCGCTTGGATGTCTTGTGTCTCTTGGATTTCTTAGATTTCTTGAGTTTCATATTTTTCGTGAATTTTGGAATTACTGGATTTCTCAAGTTTTTTCGGTTTCTTGGTTTTCTTGGCATTCTTGAATTATTGGATTTCTTGGATCTCTTGAAACTCCTATACCACCTGGCTCTCTTGGAACTCTTGGATTTTTTGGGTTTCTTGGATTTCTTGGATCCTTGGATTTATTAGATTTCTTGGATTTCTTGAGTTTCACAGACTTCCTGGATTTTGGAATTATTTGGATTCCTCGAAATTTTTCGGTTTCTTGGGCTTCTGGGATTTCTTGGATCACTTGGAACTCTTGGATCATTTGGATGGCTTGGATATCTTGGATTTCTTGCATCTCTTGGATCTCTTGGATTTCTTAGATTTCTTGAGTTTCTTAAATTACTCAGATTGCTTGAAATCTTTAGTTTTCTCGAATTTCTTAGATTTCATGCTCTTTGGAATTATTGAATCTCGAATTTTTCGGTTTCTTGGGTTTCTCAGAATCCTTAGGTTTTTTGAAATCCTTGGGTTTCTTGAATTTCTTGGATTTCTTGGATTCTTGGATTTCTTGGATCTCATGAATCGCTTGGATCGCTTGGATCGCTTGGATCTCTTGGATCGCTTGAATCTCTTGGATCTCTTAGATCTCTTGGATTTTTAATTTCTTGGATTTCTAGGATTCCTTGGAATTTCTGGGTTTCTGGGATTTCTTGGATCTCTTGGAACTCTTGCATCGCTTGGATATCTTGGATCTCTTGCATCTCTTGGGTCACTTGGATTTCTTGGATTTCTTAGATTTCTTGAGTTTTTTCAATTACTCGGATTGCTTGAGAAATTTTTCGTTTTCTTGAATTTCTTAGATTTCGTGGATTTTGGAATTATTGGATTTCTCGAATTTTTCGATTTCATGGGTTTCTCACATTTCTTGGGTTTTTTGAAATCCTTGGATTTTTTGGATTCTTGGATTATTTGAATCGCTTGGATCGCTTGGATCTCTAGGATTTTTTGGTTTTCTGGGATTTCTTGGACTATTTGGAACTCTTGGATTTCTTGGATCTCTTGCATCTCTTGGATTTCTTGGATTTTTTGGATTTCTGGCGTTTGTTGAATTTCTTAGATTTCTTGAATGTTTTAAATTTCGTGGATGTTGAAATTATTGGATTTCTCGAATTTTTTCGATTTCTTGGGTTTCTTGAGTTTCTTGAATTTTTGGGTTTTTGATATCTTTGGGTTTCTTGAAATTCTTGGATTTCTTGAATTCTTCGGTTTTTTGGATCTCTTGGAGTTCTTGGATCTCTTGGATCTCTTGGAACTTTTAGATCTCTTGGATTTCTTGGATCCTTGGATTTCTTAGCTTTCTTGAATTTATTGAGTTTCATATTTTTCGTGGATTTTGGAATTATTGAATTTCTCAAATTTTTTCGGTTTCTTCATTTTCTTGGCTTACTTGAATTATTGGATTTCTTGGATCTCCTTTAAGTCTTGGATTTTTTGGATTTTTTTGGTTTCTTGGATTTCTTGGATCTCTTGTATTTCTTGGATCCTTGGATTTATTAGATTTCTTGGATTTCTTGAGTTTCACAGATTTCCTGGATTTTGGAATTATTTGGATTCCTCGAAATTTTTCGGTTTCTTGGGCTTCTGGGATTTCTTGGATCACTTGGAACTCTTGGATCATTTGGATGGCTTGGATATCTTGGATCTCTTGTATCTCTTGGATCTCTTGGATTTCTTAGATTTCTTGAGTTTCTTAAATTACTCAGATTGCTTGAAATCTTTAGTTTTCTCGAATTTCTTAGATTTCGTGCTCTTTGGAATTATTGAATCTCGAATTTTTCGGTTTCTTGGGTTTCTCAGAATCCTTACGTTTTTTGAAATCCTTGGGTTTCTTGAATTTCTTGGATTTCTTGGATTCTTGGATTTCTTGGATCTCATGAATCGCTTGGATCTCTTGGATCGCTTGAATCTCTTGGATCTCTTAGATCTCTTGGATTTTTAATTTCTTGGATTTCTAGGATTCCTTGGAATTTCTGGGTTTCTGGGATTTCTTGGAACTCTTGGATCGCTTGGATATCTTGGATCTCTTGCATCTCTTGGGTCACTTGGATTTCTTGGATTTCTTAGATTTCTTGAGTTTTTTCAATTACTCGGATTGCTTGAGAAATTTTTCGTTTTCTTGAATTTCTTAGATTTCGTGGATTTTGGAATTGTTGGATTTCTCGAATTTTTCGATTTCATGGGTTTCTCACATTTCTTGGGTTTTTTGAAATCCTTGGATTTTTTGGATTCTTGGATTTTTTGAATCGCTTGGATCGCTTGGATCTCTAGGATTTTTTGGTTTTCTGGGATTTCTTGGACTATTTGGAACTCTTGGATTTCTTGGATCTCTTGCATCTCTTGGATTTCTTGGATTTTTTGGATTTCTGGCGTTTGTTGAATTTCTTAGATTTCTTGAATGTTTTAGATTTCGTGGATGTTGAAATTATTGGATTTCTCGAATTTTTTCGATTTCTTGAGTTTCTTGAATTTTTGGGTTTTTGATATCTTTGGGTTTCTTGAAATTCTTAGATTTCTTGAATTCTTCGATTTTTTGGATCTCTTGGAGTTCTTGGATCTCTTGGAACTCTTAGATCTCTTGGATTTCTTGGATCCTTGGATTTCTTAGCTTTCTTGAATTTATTGAGTTTCATATTTTTCGTGGATTTTGGAAATTATTGAATTTCTCAAATTTTTTCGGTTTCTTCATTTTCTTGGCTTACTTGAATTATTGGATTTCTTGGATCTCTTTCAAGTCTTGGATTTTTTGGATTTTTTTGGTTTCTTGGATTTCTTGGATCTCTTGTATTTCTTGGATCCTTGGATTTATTAGATTTCTTGGATTTCTTGAGTTTCACAGATTTCCTGGATTTTGAAATTATTTGGATTCCTCGAAATTTTTCGGTTTCTTGGGCTTCTGGGATTTCTTGGATCACTTGGAACTCTTGGATCATTTGGATGGCTTGGATATCTTGGATCTCATGTATCTCTTGGATCTCTTGGATTTCTTAGATTTCTTGAGTTTCTTAAATTACTCAGATTGCTTGAAATTTTTAGTTTTCTCGAATTTCTTAGATTTCGTGGTCTTTGGAATTATTGAATCTGGAATTTATCGGTTTCTTGGGTTTCTCAGAATCCTTGGGTTTCTGAATTTCTTGGATTTCTTGCATTTCTTGGATTCTTGGATTTCTTGGATCTCATGATTCGCTTGGATCGCTTGAATCTCTTGGATCTATTGGCTTTCTTGGATTTCATAGATTTCTTGAGTTTCTTAAATTACTCGGATTGCTTGAGAAATCCTTCGTTTTCTTGAATTTCTTAGATTTCGTGGATTTTGGAATTGTTGGATTTCTCGAATTTTTCGATTTCACGAGTTTTTTCACATTTCTTGGTTTTTTTGAAATCCTTGGATTTTTTGGATTCTTGGATTTTTTGAATCGCTTGGATTTCTTGGATTTCTTGGATCGCTTGTTTTTCTT